TCACCCAGAGAGGGGACCTCTGGGCCTGAACACTATCTCCAGCCCAGAGAAAAGGAGGAGAGAATCCTGGCCCTTAGTCATTGCCCTGGCTTCTTAACAGAACCCCAGAGTGGGTGGCCGAGCCATGCCTGGCACAGCCTAGCCGCATGGTGCTGGGCATCCCCGCCTGGCATTCATGCTGCGGGGGATAGGTTTTCCTGGGAGGGCGTCTGCGGGGAGAAGGTGGGGAGCTTGGAGAGTCAGGGAATCTGGGGATCGGGCTCAGAGCTCTGATTTTATCAGGATGTGGCTCCTCTCCCCGTGCCGTGGTTTCTTCTTTTGTGAAGAGAGGCCCCTGAGTCCTGCTCTGCATCCCTCCTGGGGGACATGGTGCAGAGGAGTGGTTACAAACATGGAAGCAAGTCCCAGGCCACCTACTGGCTGAGTGACTCACCTCTATGCATCTCAGTTTCCTCTGAGATGTAAAACACGGATAGTAAGAATAGCTGCTTTATTAGGGCTGCTGGAAAGAGTGAGATAATACACACTGAGTTTAGCTCAGTGCCAGGCACATAATAAGGGGTAAAGGCAACTGGCTACTAAAAAGCAGCAGTCAGCCTTACCAGGTTGGGAAGAAAATGCCTTCTTTTTACTTTCACTTGCTGAAAAGCTCTCAGTGCCTGCAGTGGGGTTCACAGCCCTGCATCATCAATGTATCGACTGGTACTAAGGTCTAGAGCAGGCTTGTTTTGCCTTAAATATTCCAAAGCCTCTATTTTGTCATATACAAGATGGGTGTCCAATAATGACAGCCTCACAAGGTTGTGCAGAGTCAATGAGCTAGCACATAGACATCGTCTGCATGTGGAAGGTTCTGGGGGATGACTAGTGTGTATGCACAATGGTGTCTGCTGCTTGAACCTGCACAGACAGGCTTTATCCAAGATACTTGCATGTGGTAGGATGCAGCCTGAGTCTTTCCCAAGTCAGACCTAGGAACACCTGGCAATCTGCGTCCTTCTCTTTTCTGCTTTAGATATTTGATCAGGAGAGAAGCTTGTGATGAGAGGAAACCCTAAGGCAGGCTCTGAACAGGCAGGTCACAGAGAGGCAACAGGAGGGAACAGGACACTGTGCACCTGCACTGGGCATTCTGAGAGCTGGATTGGAGATGACACAATTTCATCATTGAAAGGTCTTGATAAAGGCCCCTGTTTTGCGGATGGTGCGACCGGGGTCCTCAGCATGCCAGGGACTTACTGAAAGTCACACGGTCCCTGTGTAGCACCTACAACTGAGTCCTAACCTCCTAGTGAGCTCAGTAAATGCAGCTGCACTGACAAGCATTGGTGGGGAGAAGGAGATGGCCTCCTGAGATCAAACCTTCTAGACTTTGCCATGTTCTGATTGGGTTTCCTTCTGTCTGGAACATAGTTTGCAGGCAAGTTTATTTGGGAAGTTCTGAAACTGCCCAAGCAAACCTGGGGTTAGGAAGAGAAGGGTGACACTGCTCCAGCAAAGCCAGAGTGGGCAGCCCAGCCCGAGAAGCTCAGCGGTGGCACAGCCCTGCATGCTGACAACTTTGGAGAAGCTAATGGAGCTGGAGAGGGCAGAAAGGGGATCACGAAAGACAGGCTTTGGAGAGAACGTCTACATCTCGAATTCCTTTCTGGCCAGGGCTTTGCCTTCCACCTTTCTCAGAGTGAGAAGAATTACCAGCCAGATGGGAAGATAGAAGCCAGGAAGATCAACTCTTATTATAGATAGGGAAGCTGAAGCCCAGAGAAGGGAAGTGACTTGTGCAAAGTCACCCAGCAAGTGAATGCAAGAGTGGAGCCTCCCTGACTCATATTCTGCCTGCCTGTCTGCACGTTCCTTTCTCATCCCTTCCTGGGTCTATGGAAAGCCTATTATGCAGTTCCTTTCTCATCCCTTCCTGGGTCCATGGAAAGCCTATTATGCGGTATATAAAGACTCGACTCAACAACAGGCATGGCCCCTGCCCAGGCCTAGCTGACATACAAGTGAAGAAGTAATTCAGAACAATAAGAGTGTAAAAATAGGATGCTGCGATATGGTATGAGGGTGATGGTGCCGTCTTTGGCCAGGCCAACAAGGGAGGAGGTGATGTTTGAGGTAAGACCTGAAGAATGAAAAGGAGCTGGCTGTGGAAGAGCAGTCAGAGTGAAGGAGCATTAATGACTAAAGACTTTAGAAGTAGGAAAACACTTGTAGTCAATGAGGAACCAATAAACAAATAAATAAATAAGCTACCGAGAGTGAGGGAAAGAAGGGAACCAGGTGAGGTATGAGAAGCATGTAGAGATCAGATCATGCATGGCCCGAACGTGTGGAAAACTCTGGATTTTATTCTAAGAGAATTTGTTGCATATTTACCTGTGTGAGGTGCAGCAGGAAGCGTAAACGATACAGCAGATGTGAAGTGGTCCCTAAAGGGTCTTAGAGCTCAACAGGAAAGAATCAGAGAGAATTATAGAGAAGACATTAGCGGTAACTGGATCATTCTATTGCTAGAATGTCAGCAAAGGTAGGAGATGGGACAGATGATGGGATGGGGGAGTTCAAGACAGAAAGGTCGACCAAGTCTCAGAGGTGGGAGAGAGACGACGTGCAGGAACGGTGGGGAAATGTGAGTCCCTGAGAAATTCTATTCAGCATATGTATAGTCACGAGCAGGAACAATGGGGCAATGTAAGTCCCTGAGAAATTCTGTTCAGCATATGTATAGTCAACAGTGGGCATCTCATAGGTGTTAGGCCATGTGCCAGGGCTTCTGTATGTCCTCACAGTCATATGAAATACAGTATATTTTTTAGAATCCTCCTTCTATAGATGCAGAAACTAAGGGTCATGACAGTGAAGATGTTTTTTCCAAAATCGTTCGGCGAGTATGTCGCAAGTGAGCATCGCAGTCCAGACCTTTTGGCTCCCACGGATGGTCCCCTCCACACTCTGCCTTAGATGTTGGGCTTTGACATGACTCTGCCCTCAGTTTCCCCACTTGGACTAGAGGGTTTTCTCTCTGTATGTCTCTTCCAGTTCTAACATTCTGTGCTTTTCTTAAAGGTAAAGAGGTTGTGGGAGAATATTCTAGATCCTAGATGGAATGTTCTAGATTTATTCCACAAAGTCACAGAGGCTGGAAAGTAACTGTCCTGAACAGAGAACAGCAAGTGTTCACAGTTGTAAGCAGAAAGAGGGGTACTGCCTGGAAAAAGGAACTGGGAAAATGCTCAGTGCAGCAGCATCAAGCACCTATGAATTTAAATTGAAAGGAGAAACAAAGATATGCATTAGCCACAAGTACCAAGAAAGAGTCAGCATGAGATGGAGAAGTGCATAGAAATTCTGTGGCTTAGGCTGTGCAAAAACAAGAATGAACAAGATTGGCCTGATTCCTGACTCACAGAATTGGTGGGAGGATAGACAAGAAAAATTAAATAAATAAAATAAAGGGAGGAGAGAGAGTATGTGTGTATAAATACTGAGCACATAGCATATGCCAGGCACTGTGCTGGGTGTTTTTGATGAGTTATTTTACTTATTCTTCATCACAACCTCAGGAAGTGTACACTTTGGTCATGCCCGTTTAATAAATGGGTTCACTGAGGCTCAGAGAAATTGTCACATGCTCATGGTCACCCCTCAAGTAAGTCAGAGAGCTGAGGTTTATACTTAAGTCTTTCTGAGGTTCATTCCTACATTTTATAATAAATTGTTGCAAAATTTCAGGACTGAGAAACGTTGGGAGGGAAAGTAGGCGGGAGGGAGAAAGGGCAAAGAGGCGGAGGAAAAAGAAGAGCTGGCCGTAGAGAATGGCTCTGCCAGTACGTGAGAGACAGGGATAGAAACAAAGATGCTCTCTGAGACTACTGAGTACTTGGAGACCCTGCTCGGGCAGGAGGCGAATGAGGTCATTAAACCCATCTGCGCAGATGGGGACCCTCTGGGGAAAGTGATATGCAAATGTCATGATGCAATGAGGTGAAATCCGCTTGCGTTAGTGCAGGCTGGGACTCAAGCCGGGAGTGCACTGTGCTCTTTAGAAAGATAGATCATCTGCTGGATGGGGAAGACACTTGCTCTGTTGGGCTCTTGCGCTCGGTTTCTAGAAAGGAAGGCCAGCCCAAGGTCACAGAGCACATGAATGGATGGACTGGGAACCCGGACTCAGGCCCCTTACTTTTTCTTACAGTAAAATCTGCTCCTGAGGCCCTTTAGGTTTTGTGCAAAACCTGTATGTGAGCTGTTTCCTACCCAGGATTTTGAGCCTCCCAAGAAGGTGGTCTGAGCTTGTCTGAGACATGCTTTGGTTTTCATCATTGCCTCCCCAAATCAAAATTACCCATTTGTGCAGAGAGTTAGGTTTTCTTAAAAGACACCTCCACATCCTTTATTTCTCTTGATCATCACAACAGTCCTCTGTGTTAGATATTCCACTGCACAATTGTATTAACCAACTTTGGTAGAGTGCATTACAACTTTTCACCGTGGTTTTACTCATCCCTTATTGTTTATAGTGCATGGTGGGGCTTATATTAATAACATACCAGTTCTACACATAGGAACCTGAGGCTCAGAGAGAAATAGATTGTCTTTCTTTAATACCAGATGTGTCCCTTATTACTTTGGGCAAATGTTTATCCCTTTCTGAGCCTCAGTTTCCCTGTGACTAAAAGGGTGATTGTCATAGTATCTATCTTACAGATTTGTCAAAAAGATTCAGTGTTTTCCTGTTTAGAAAGTGTTCAGTGTTTTGCCTAACTCATGGCAAGTGCCCCATCTATAGCAAGTGCCTGTGAAAATGGGCGCTGCTTCGATAATGACCATGGTGCTCTTGATAAAAGTTATCACAGTGATAGCAAGAAGCAGAGTTATGACTTAAATTTGGATCTTCTGTTCTCACATTCCCATGATTGTACCCCTGCCCTGCCCTGCCTCTTTGATAATCACTGGTTCAGACCAGACCACCTGGTTCATTCCTTTCTTTCTCTCTTCAGGTCACACCCTTCCCAATGTCCTGCGACCTACAAGGTGACTGTGCTTGTCGGGACCCCCAGGCCCAAGAACACAGCCGGAAAGACCTCCGGGGATACAGCCACGGCTAAGGAAGGACAAGTAGTTGTCAAAGAATTCCCAACGCCAGGACCCGCATCCCTTTGGTATTGATTTCACAGTCTGCTGCTCAACAGAATGGCCTCTCCACACCAGGGATCCTTAGCACCCAACCGGTCTGCCTTTAATTTTACCCAGGAAGGACTCACAGTGGGCGCGAATGAAGCAAGGCTTGCCATGTTGAATGATGGATTGGAATCCCATCCCAAAGTCTGAGATGGATTGCATAGACAGTGTGCAGTCCCAGAGCCTCCTAAAATTCTAAGCATTTGTCACACGACCACAGCAAGAGACATGTTCTGTATCTAGGAGTGTGCACCTCTGTGGTTAGTACACATGCACGCATAACACCCATACCAACATCTGTGCTAGGGCAGTTCTAGAGATTGAGCAGAGAGAGACTGGAACAAACTCAATCCTTCTTTTCCCAAGATCCTAGCCAACACTATGCTTGGGAGAAAGAGAGTTTCTGAAACTGCTAAGACTAAGCAAGTGTTGAGATGCCAAGATAGCTCAGACCCCGAGGTTCAGGATATGTAGGGCATGCACAGTTGTGTAGTCCGTTGGGATTGGAAGCGAAATGGACTGTGATTACCTGCCTTCTAGGGAACTAGGATCCAGGAAGAGGTAAAGATTCCAAGGTGTGCAAATCCCCCCCCCCCAATTCTTCTGCTGCCATAGGGATTTTACCCCAACTCCAGGGTTCGAGGCCAAGCTGGAAATGGCTTAGAATTACAATGTTAAGGTATTATACCAGCCCCCTGCTTGAGGCTTGAGGTCATAATATCCCTCCATAACCCACCTGTTTTCCAAATCTTGCCTTGGGACCACATTTGCTGCTACTTTTCCTGCTGCTCTATCCTACACATTGAATAACCCAAGATGGTAGAATTAGGTTAGGAAAAACCCCACACAACCAAACAGTCTGCCTTAAAAGTGACCCACATTTTCCCACAGCTCCTCACTTCCTAGTCCTTCTGCAAGAGAAAAGTCCTCATGGGCCCAATGGTGAGAAGTTAAGTCCTGCATGGGTGGGCCTCTCATCCTGGAAGAGTTGAGGACCTCAGATGCTGGATCCCTCACTGAGAGTCCAGAATGTCTAAGCCAGTGTTAGATTTTTCAACCAAGTGGAACAGTGTTAAATTCTATGATGGTGGAGTCATCCAGAGACGATCGGAACTTTCAGGACTCTTGGGTTATTATCCTTATCGTAGTCTTCTAGCCCTACTGGCTAGAGTAGACTTTGGTCCTGAGAACCTTACTGTTGCTCTGAGTAGATATAATTCTGGGACAGAGAGTTATTTTAGATAAGATCAATAAGACTGTGTTCTAGAGGGTCATCAGAGGGAAGCCAAAGAGTTCACAACCTCAGTATCCAACAAGTCACCATTGTCATCATGTTTTCTGTATGATTTCCATCTACCAAAACTTCCTTCCACACCTGTGGCTGGCCAATCCTTCCCTCTCTATCATGTTCAGCCTCCAAAACTCAATAGGAGATCAGTCAATTGCACATGGACTCCCCACCTTTTTGGGGGCCTCTTTGCCTCTTTTAAGTCCATTACCTTTCCACTCCTTTGAATTAATATGGGAAGAGATTAATACAGGATGAGGTGAAGAGAAAGATTAATTGTGACGTATTTTCTGGAACCTAGAGAAATTGAGGAGATGAGAAGTTCTGGATTAGTCATATCCCATAAAGATTACTGCAAATGAAGTCATCTCAAGTCTACTGAAGACAACCAACCAAAATAGAGTCTAGCATAGGGATGGGACGTGTGCAGTTTCCTAATGCCTGCATCTAAGGCAGGCATTGTGAATCCCTCATGGCCCTTTTTTCTATTGGGACCAAAAATAACTTTAGAAACCATCTTATTATACCACTCCCACCAATAATTACCTAGTGATCAAAACCACTTGAGAATACATCTATTGGCCATCTGTGGTCTGTTATATTAAGAAACATATCAAGGTGCTTTTCGCACAGATGCCCGCAAATAAGGATGCAGTGGTTAGATAGTTTACATGGCTTGTGCCATATTATTAATACAAACTCTGAGATTGACTTTCAGAATGGAGAGGCTGCCACCATTGTTAATGCCAGGCTCAAATCCTTTATATGTTTCTTTCTTACAAAATCATATTTACATCCAGGGCATTATTTTTCTGTAATTACCACGGCCAATCCTTAGCAAAAAAATAAGAATAATATTAGAAGAATTCAACCTATTGTGTTCCCCTTTCCAGTATCATAGAACTCTTTCCAACTATTCAGGCAGTTCTCTTGCCCTAGCTGAGTTGTCAACCTGTGTGGTGTTAGCTTAGAAGGTACAAGCTGAGAAAGGTAACAGCATCAGCCCTCCCAGTTGCTTAAGTACATCCATAAGTAATACAAAAAGCTTTGAAGACCCAAAGATGACATTACTAATGATGGGATTGCAGGCCCCACAAAAGAACCTTATCAGCTTCCCTTAAATCATTCCTCATCCTCTTTCTTTCCATCTGCACTGTCCCTGTCATCTATCCCTGTACTCTCCACCTGAGCAAAGATTCCTAGAGGCTGACTTCTATCTTCAGACTCACATACTGAAAATTCAGCCCTTCTGAATAAAGACTCGCCCAGCCATATTTGCCAAGGATATTAAACAAAAGAGGCTACTTGATTGGCGGCCAGCCTCATGCCCACATGGAAGGTATAATTCACAGGTTCTTCAAAAACCTTAGTGGAGGAGGGCCAGCTCTACTTGTGCAATGCACTGATTCCCAGTTCCTTTTTGTTTCCTGGGAATAACTCAATGTCTCATCCTTTTGATCATCTCCTGTTTAGGACAATGGAGTACTCACAAGGGGGCAGGTCTGAAGCCCTGTTGTGTATCAGCAGCTCAAGGACACCAAAGCACTTGAGGGTTCTGTGTCTGAAGAAGTATTAGCCTGTTAGCTGTTTTGTGCCTGTTAGCACAAAAAAAGAAGAGATGAGGTGGACAGTTTTCTAAACCCCGTCTTGGGAAGTCTTTCCAAGCCACAACCCTAACTGCCTGCCCAAAGGACTTGCATTACCCCCAGATACTGTGCCAACATCCTTTTAAGGGAATGCAGTCCTCAGGAAGTCAGTTTTGGTGGGTGAATTAGGGTGTTAAGGAAGGGAGAGATTAACAGTCATAAATAGTAGGGCTTTGAAGATGTAGGGTATCAGCTGTCACTCATGGCTTCAGCATGTTGAGTCACTGCCTAGACAGTTTTCTTGGTCTTATTCCCACCTTGGCCGATACTTAAATGCTAGTTGTTGAAAATAATTGTTTGAGACAGATTTCAGCTACCTCCCTTCCAGGTTTGATTTAACTTGGTTGTAACTGTCGAATTGTTATAGGTCTTACCTGTGTTAGAAAGAAAGAAAGAAAAGAAAGGAAAAGAGAGAAAGAGAAAAAGAAAAAGAAAGAAAGAAAAAAAGGAAGGAAGTAACTATAAAGTCAAGTTAACAGTTTTGAGGTTTTGTGTTTTTTTTTTTTTTTCTGGAACTACTTCAAGTGGGAAAATAAAAAAGAAGTTGATGGTGACAACGCTGTACAGATAGAGATTAATAGAAAACAAGGATATTAAAAGGAAATATAAATGCATGATTAAAAACTAAGAAAAAAAAAACCTATTTTTATGTTTCCTAAAGGAAGTTGTTTATTCTACAGACTGAGTAGGTAGACACAGCATAAAGATTTCCCTAGAAGACATAGAGTGGGATTTTATAACATTGTCTGTTATTTTCTGTACATTGTGGTAGGTCCAGGAAATATGGCATTTTCTCCCTTGTTATGTTGTTGTTGTTGTTGGGGGACATTTTGTTTATTTGTTTGGTGGCAATCAGTGGGAGTAGGGAGTGGGGAGGGCTTGATATTGGTTGTACCAAATATTAAGGGGACATAGTGTGTTGTCGTGCTTTTCACATTATAAATTGTTTATATGTACCAGTATAGCACTGGGCTTTATAAAGACTGCACTCAGAACCACACTGAACAGTCCAACTTCCTAAAAAGCTGCTACATGACCAGACAGGTAATCCCAATGAGTTTTGAGAAACAAAACAAACCAAGTAAATAATGAACATAAAAACTAAATAGCAAATGAATAAAAGCCTATTCTGGTAATTTATTCAACTTTTGCCAAATTCCTACCAATCATTTGCTTTTGAAAAGAAATGTATAATAGCCAAAAAGAGTAGTTATGTTCCTAGGGTAAAGAACCTAGAATTCTTGGCTCCAGGCAGCAGTTTGCTCAGTGATCTTGAACAAGTTATCAAAATGCCTCTACATTTGCCTCAGTTTCTCTAGCTGCAAAATGGGGATAATACTACATACCTACCTCACAGTGGGAGGGCAGGGGATTGTGAGGCCCTGAGATTTTAAATGGGCTGTGAGGGCCAAGGCTTGGCACACAGTCCATGGGTTAGTTTTCAAGAATGCACAGGCCCACTGGCCTCTTAAGAAAGACGGGGAGTGTTCATTCAATATTTCAAGGAATCAAGCTGGAGCGCATGGATTATAGTCCAATTTAAGAGAAAGACCTGGATTAGGGAATATTTCATTTTTTAGGTGAATTTTCTTCCACTCTTCTCACCCCCGCCCCCCAATATTCTGGCATTTACCGGTTCTGTGATTTGGCTAAAAGCTGATTACTTCCTACGATGTCAAGTCAGTTAACAGTCGTCTCTTTAAGACTTCCAGACCATTTCCAACTTACAGAGGAAAGGAGTCACTAAAATCTCTTCCTCAGAAGGCACCTCCCTTCTCAGACTTAAAAATTCCACATCAAGCGTTCCATTTAAAGAGCATATGGCATTCTGAGTGCAAACAACTTGGGGCTTCTTAAACTACACACCAGCAGTCAGTGAGGAAAATTTTGAACAATTATTGAGTTGCTTTCTTGGGTCTCTATAATCAGTAACCTGTCCGCAGATATCTATCTATATAAAGATATTATATATAAATATAAATTTACATATATATGCACATGTATATATAGTTGTACATATATGTGTGTATATATATACTTAAATGTAATATTTACAAAATAAAACTGTGATCTCGTCTAGAGAAAATGTATTCATATTACAAACTGCTCTTCCATATTTATGTATCATATTATACCTTTTTATTATTGTTATAATTATTATGGGTATTTCTTATGATGTCGAAATCTGTTTGGCACCTTCTGAAGCTACCAAAACATAACTTTCCATTGAAGTGCTTAAAAGCTGTTCTCATGAGAATTCTACTGGCCTACTGTAAAAAAGAAAAAGAAAAAAAAAAAAAAGACAGAAAGAAAACAATCTAAACACCAAAAAACTAAACACAATTCCAGTCCTTTTTCTGTACCTCACGCGCATAAATTTGCTGCTCCTATTTTGGGTTTTTTTTTTTTTTTCTGTTTATGTGTTTTTATGGATCTAAGTTAAGTCTTTCAGCAATATATAAAAATGTAAATAGTAAACTTTATTTATTAAGAATGTCATCTTTTTTAATTTATATTTACACAATTGTTCATCTAATTTATTTTTTCTATACAGTTTTAAATACTCAAGACATATTTTGCTGTTCATATTTTTATCCTGTTCTCGTGGATTTGTTTCTCCATACTGTTTTCTCTGATCTCAATTACAGGTTGGATCTCACAAAAAATAATGTCAGAGACAGAAATATTTTGCCACTGTTGATTACTATACCTTAAAGTTCTATATTATGAAAATATATAATAGCTTGTATGCTTCACTGTGTTGTCGTGTGGTTTTTGTGTATTGTGGAACTTGAAAGCACTGTTATGTAGACACACTAACATGGAGGAGAACCCCAGGGCCTCGAATTAGAAGATCAATGATAGCACAAGTTCTAATCCAATATACAGCCCCCTCCTCCAAATAATTAATTCCTAAAAGTATCTACATTTTGCATATGCAAAAATTAAAAACGTTTCCTACGTGCTATAAGAAAGTTCAGTTTTAGGAGGCTAAAATATATCTTATTTTCCATCATATTTTGTCTTTTGGACACTGTCTTCAACAGTATACCTCCACGATATTCTCCATTTTCTTTTTTTTTAATATGTATAATTGAATACTCAGTCATCCGGTTCACCGAATGAACCTGAAACTGTTGCTGCTTTCAATCTCTGTAGCATATCTCATTGTTCATCTTAGCCTTATTATTATTATCTGGAAATACTTCCCAAAGAAAGTTATTTAATGGCTTTAAGATTTAACTTTCTCATCTGTGAAATGGAAATAATAAAAGCACCCACTTCATAAAGTTTTTGCTAGAATTAAGATAAATATGCAAAGTGTTTAGAACAGTGTTAGACATGGATTATCTTAGCTCTTGTTATGAGTATTGTGAGACCAGGGCTGCTTATGACAAGTATCAATGGTATACTAATTTTTCTGATATCTACTTATTTTTTTTAAAAGAATAACAACAAGAATGCACTAAAGCATGTAAGTGCTTCACAGGCATTTTTAGGAGGTAGAGTTATTGGCACTTTGTATTGAGCTGTTGACTAGCAGTATCACACCGTAAGACAGGTCAAAATATGTGTTTATTTGCTAATATTTGAAATTTTGAATTTATACCATAAGGCACTTTGGGGACATCGATGTGAGCTATATAAAAGGGCAGAGATAGAGAAGTCAAGAACTACTCATAGTAGGCTTTCTGGACACCTTAAAAACATAACCTATGCAGAGACATGAAGTGAGTGAGATCACGAAAAATGGAAAAAATAAGTCATTGCTAAATTCTTCCAGATAACTAGTTACTTTCAAAATAATGAAATGATAAAAGAAAATGTTTTATAATGTTCTATTTAATTCAGTTCAGTGTGAAGATTAAAATAATAGTTCAGAGAACAGGGTCGTGAAAAGAGGCAAGTATTTCCCAAATAGAAAGATTAAGAGAGAGAATATTTAATACAGCTTTTTAAAATCTTTGGTTCTGTCTGCAGAGACAAAGTCATGGGACAAAGAGCTTTGTATTAGGAGATGAAAGATCTTAGTTGTGATGTCTTCTCATTCTTTTGCCGACACACACACACACACACACACACACACACACACGGTACTGGAGAGTTCACTGGACTTTAGTTGCCTCATTTGTCAAATAGGAAAATGATTCTTTTCTCACTTCAAAGCAGGCAGAAATGTTCCATGTTTTGATCTATTTATATTTATCATTCAAGTGTTAGAGTTTGTCTAATCAAGAAAAATGATATATAAGTTTTAAAAAATTGAAGGGGGCATTCCATTATGCTATACTGGCATTGGTAAATCTATCCAGTTCTTAACCTTTGGTGCCAGAAATAAGAACCAAGGACAAAAGCACAGCCTCTTTAAACTTCAGCCCAGAAGAAGCTTTGCTTCTTTGAGTAAGTATTTTAAACTCTAAAGGGATGAGGTTTGGCAAAAAAAAAATAGCAGTGCAGTGCAGAGGAATGGGTTAGCCACTTGGGGGAGGAACCAGGTTCAAGTGCCATCTGCCTTGTGACCTTGGGCAAGTCACTTACTTTTGCTAAGACAGGGGAGTTGGCAATGACAAAAATCAGGTGATGTGTTTAAGCAAATGGGACCAGCAGGTGCATCATGCTAAATAGATAAAAACATGGGACTTTCAAAGAACTGATTTTAAAAGAGCTGATGTGTTTGGATAGCAGAGAGGGTAAGGGTGGTCCAACTAGAGGATGGAGAAGTTATCATGACCATACTAAGGATTTTAGGCTTTATCTTAACAGCAATGCAGAGCCAGGGAACAGTATTTAGAGATTGACATGGTTAGATTTGTGGTTGAGAAGGATCTCTCAGGTGGCCATGTGAAAGAGAAAACAGAGGCAGGTAAGAGTAGGTACATCATAAGAGTTAAGAGGACATTGTGTAGTCCGAGAAAGAAACAATGACTCTTTGTACAAATGTGGTGATAGCGGATAGGCAGAGGATTTTTCTTTCCATTCTATTAAATGGTGAGCTTGGATGACATGATCGTTAGAGTCTCTAACATTCTGAGATTCTAGAAACTCATTGCTGCTGCTGCTATTGACTGATTTTTAGATCCTGCTTTTATTTTTTAAGTGATAGACTTTAGAGAAGTTTTGGGTTTACAAGAAATGTAAGCAGGAAGTAGAGTTTTCATGAGATTTCTTTCAAAATAGTAAAACTTTGGGACAGGAAAATCTAGCTATTTTCTAGACCCAGATGTAAGGAAAATAGAGAAACCTAAGACCATGTGATCAAGTTTGTAGGTTTGGATATTTAAGTAAAGTTTTTGACGACCCCTCGGTGATTTTGTCACGATAAGGCCTCAAGACGAGAGAGGAGGGCTCTGGGCCAGGGGTCAGGATGGAGGCAGGTGGGATCTGCGATCGCAGCCCTTTAGGTGCTGTGTTACCTTGGTAATGCCCTTGATGCAGGTGCTGGTGACACAGGTCTGTTCAGCTTATGGAAATTCATCAAGCACTGTGATAAGTTCACATGCCTTCCTGTATGTACATTATATGTCAGTATAAGGGTTTGTTGAGAGTTACTGGCAAATTTTCTCCATAGGAAAAAATAAAATAAAAACACTTTTCTAGAGCAAGCAGGGGAAAGGGAATAAGACCCCAATTTAACTTCAGCTAAAAAAAATGGCACCCATATTTCCCCCCTAAATTAGCAATGATTCTTTAAAATAGAACCAAGTTTTACAATACAAAGAGTACTGAGAAGAAGCAACGTGTGCCGGTATTGTGGAAGCACGAGCAGTCAGGAGTGCCGGTCTCCAGTTCTGCTTGGTGGCACTGTGACCAGGGACGAGCGACCTCACCTTTGAGCCTCCTGATTCCCGATCTGGGAGGTGGGGATAATGATGACCAAGATGAGAATGAAAGGAGCTGGTCTGGATCTGTAGCTAACTGAGCACTGTGACGGAACCCCAAGAGATGCTACAGAGAAGGGAGTGAAGAAGCAGCCCAAAGAATGGTGCTCATCCCCTGGAGAGCTTCATCCTACCACAGGCAGAGCTAGAACCATTTTTAATCTGCCTACCCAAGCACCCCCCCCATGTAATAGTAAGGTACCCCTGCCACCAGGTATCTCATTTTGACATCCACCTTCTCCTTCCCTGGGTTTCAGATCCTGAGAGGCTGGCTGAGATGCAATCCAATCAAAGATTCTCCACCATTTTGACCATGTAATCCATTCTTTAAGGACAAAATTTATGCACAATGCCAACAAGTCAAAAGAGCCTCTTAGTGTGCCCACTTCTATTTCTCTAACCAACCCAGTAGCTTTTGGGTTTCAAGGAGCATGATGTAAAAGTAACTGGCCTAATTTTCTCCATTTTACAGATGGGGACATTGGCAGAATTTGAACTTGCCACTTGCCCAGAGTCCCTGAGTAGAAGACAGAGTGGCATCACTGACTAACTTTCCCTGCTGCTACCTGGCACCTGAGCCTTCCACAAAAGGAGTCTTGTTGGGATGCCATGGAAGCCTGGGCTCCATGCCTTGCGATAAAATGAGGAAGATTTGAAGATAGCCAAGGACCACAGTTTTTAAGATGCTTTGTTTTCTCTCTCCTTGAGATGCAGCCCAGCTATAGTCCACCCCTGGGAGAAGGGAGTTTGTTATCTCCATATTTTTTTCTGAGGCTGCACCATGCATATTGCAGCCTGGGCTATATTTCCCTCTTTACTCCATGGTGCTCCAAACAGAATTCTTCCCAGAGGCCGCAGAGATGGTGACCAAGTTCCTTAGTAAACATCTAGGTATCAGCTTATTAAAATCATATTACAAATAATTCCTTCCATATGCACACCAATTTATACTATACAAAACACATCTATTAACATATATAAGGATTCATTTGTTCAATTATTTGTTGAACAATTGTTTGTTAAGCATTACTATGTATAATTAGTTGGACTGGGCACTGTGGTCAGGTCAGACATCTATAGCCCTGCCTCCACTGAGTTTAACATCCCAATATATTCCGAGTACAGAGATGAGCACCTGGCTCACAGGAGGGCAGTGTGTGAGGTGCTGCAAATGGGTGAAGCCACCCTGGAGGGGAAATGGTAAATGTTACAGGCAGAGATAACAACATGTGCAAAGACCAAGGGTGAAATAGGGTATGGCTTATTTGGGGAATGGCAAGTATTCAGGCCACGGGGGTGTGGATTAGGAAGAAGAGGAACTGAGAAACCACACTGGGGAAGAAAGATGCCAGGTGGTGTCAAAGAGTGACACAGAGACACATTGCCAAGAGCTCTGTAAATGCATGTCTTAGCTTGGGTTCCTTCAGAAGCCAGCCCTGAGACAAGTATTCAGGTGCAAGGAGCTTATCTGGATGATGATCCCAATAATTACCAGAAGAGGATAGGGAATGTGAAGCAGGATGGGAAGTTTGCCAAGTGTGGGTGTATTATCAAACATGGCGCTACAGTGAGCTGCTGTGGCTTAATCCCCCTGGGGAACTCTGGGGGGCTGGTGGAAAACACACACTGCTCACACTTACGCCACCCACCTGAGGTGCTAGGGAGCCAGGGCATTTATCAGTCATTTATCAGGATTCCCCTGGGGCATTCATCCTCCAGCACATCTATCTTCCGTGCTGGTGGGCAAAGTGGGCTCGAGCCAGTAGCAAAAGCTCTCAGGCAAAGCAGAGTGAATACTGACTATGGGAAGCCACACAGCACACTCTGCAGGGGCGAGAGATATGGGCAGAGATCCAGTGGGATCTGGTACAGCATTA